GAAATGAACTAATAGCTGCCAATTGTAGAAGAACTTCAGATGTAATAGATTAGATAAATTCAGATTATAGGTGAATTAATAAAGAAATCCTTATATAATAAGTACATAATAAAGAAATCTTTACATTGAAAACCACCAAGTTGAAATGGAATATACATTTAATGCTTATACCAAGTTGTGGCACATTTTAATGAAATCTAATAAAATTAAAACTATTTGTCCTATGCCAACGTCAATATTCAGTCTTCAAGTAATACAGTTCCTTATGAATGACCCAACCTGTCTTTTAGTTTCTATCACAAAATATTGTCTGAACTTACCTAATGAGTTTGTTTATGATGAGCGAAATCATCATTGTGTAATTATTTTCTTCCTTATTTTCTAGGTACACTATCCAAATTTTGACATCTTGTCAAGTTACTGATAGTGATTCCATTTCTAATAAAAAGAACATGCTTAAGAATTCTGACTGGGTAATCGTTCTTCAAAGTCAATGGACTGACGCAACCATTTTAAGCCCAAAACAATACGACCTCTATGTCTTGTTCAGGCCAGTGATTGGGTTAATATCAGTATTATATACAAACGACTTAATTTAACTAATGTTGAGCTCACACCATAAAGTCATAAACTTCTGAAAAGAAGTCAGACCTAACGTCAGGGGAAAAAGTCATAACCGTTACTAATAAAGCAATAATGAAATGAACTAACTACTGACAATTATAGAACTTCAGAAGGGATTGTATTATAAAAATCATCGCATTGAAAAGATTGACATTATGCATCTTGTTCAGGTCAGTTATTGGGTTAATATCAGCATTATATATAAACATCTTAATTTAACTTATGTTAATCTCACACCAATCAGAAATAAAAAAAGACTATAATCGTTACTAATGCTTAACGAAACAATAGTGAAATGAACTGACAACTGCCAATTGTAGAAGAATTTCTGAAGGGATAGTACTATAGGTGAACTATAATAAAAATATACTATATAATAGAGCAATCAAAGCATTAAAAAATTGACATTCTATGTCCTTTTCAGGCCAGTGAATTGTATAATTTAAGTATTAAGAGAGCACTTCAAGTTTAAATTATGTTGAACTCAAACCAATCGGGAAAAGAAAAGTCATAATCGTTGCTAATGTATAATGAAGCAATAAGGAAATGAACTAACAAGTGTCAATTATAGAGGAACATCAGAAGGATAGTATTATAGGTGAAATTTAACCAACCGGTAGCATATAATAAAGTAATCATTGCATTAAAAAACACCAATTTAGAATAGAATATTCATTTAATGCTTATACCAAAATGTGGGAAATTTCAATAAAATCTAATAAAATTAAAACAATTCCCCCTATTTAAATGTCAAGATTCCTACTTCAAGTAATACGTTTCCCTGCGAATGACCCACTGTTTCTTTTAAGCTCTTGACACAGAATACTGTCTGAACCTACCTAATGAGTCCGTTTATGATTAGCGAAATCATATTTGCGCACTTAATTTCTTCACGATGGGACAAAAGGGATTATGATTGCATTGAAAAGATTGACATTCTACATGATGTTCAGGCCAATTATTGGGTTAATATCAGTATTATGCACAAGCATCACAATTTAACTTATGCTGAAATAAAAAAAGATCATAATCGCTATTAATGCTTAAAGAAGTAATATTGAAATAAACGAAGAACTGCCAATTGTAGAAGACCTTCAGAAAGGATAGCATTATAAGTGAACTATAATAAAAAGTTGGTATATAATACAGCAATTGAATCATTAAAAAGATTGACATTTTAAGCCTTGTTCAGGTCAGTGATTGGATTAATATCAGTATTATCAGAATTAACTTATGTTGAGCTCATACCAATCACAGTATTATAACTGAACGACAATAAAAAGTTATTATATAATGAAGCAATCATTGCATTGAAAACCAGCAAATTAAAAAGGAATATACATTTAATGCTTACACCAAAAAGGGGAAAATTCCAACAAAATTTAATAAAATTAAAACAATTCCTCTTATTCCAATGCCGAGTTCCCATCTTCAAGTAATACGTTTCCCTGTGAATGACCCACTGTGTCTTTTACGTTCCTGACACAGAATATTGTCTGAACTTACCTAATGAGTTCGTTTATGATTAGCGAAATCATCTTTGCGCACTTAATTTCCGCACGTTCGGTTAAAAGGGATTATGATTGCTCAGAAAGCTACATTTACGAAGAGTTACTATCAGTTTCTGCGCATTCCTCACGGATTAAAGCGAAAACCATTAAGGTTGTAAAGTGATTACGCTTAAAGCTGTTTTCTGGTACCAACGATGCGTGAAACTGTTTTTAATTAAATCATTTCAGATTTTTAAGATATTTGGTGCCGAAATCTGTAAGCATGTAAAAATGGCTTATTATTTCTTGAATAATAACATTTCGCAGTTCACTGGATTTTGTAATTAAAATATCATAATCCTTGAGAAATTTATTAGATGTATTTGAAAAATGTCAATGAAGATTTCAAAAGAATTTATGGACCTCTTTATATTAAAAAAAAACTTTACGTAAGGTGTGTAAATCTTATTATTGAAATTATTAAAGCTGATGGTTAGATTTTGTTATTTCACCCAACTCATTGTTCCGTGTTTAAATATATTGGTGATGATCAAGAATATCAAGTTCTAATCCGCTGGTAGCATATGTTGTAGTTAATAATATTAGAAAAAAAGAAGATTCAAATCTATTTGTAGCATTACTACTCCCATGTTAAAAGATCAAACTAAGTTGTGTTATGTTTCACCGTTTGACTTGACTAGTCTTGATAACTTGACTTGATATCCGTTTGGATTTTGTTTGGAAGGGAATTCTCATGGTTCTGTAGGTACATCGTATCCAATTTAAGACACACTCCGATGATTTTATCCTCTGTTCCAATAAGCCCACTAAATTTCAAATATGGTTCACATCAGGCGATTTTGCAGGCTGGCCATGGTGTAATAGGATATGTGAGTGTCCATGAAACAAATCGCATATGCTTCCAGCCGTGCCAACCTTGCTACTGTCGACTTGAAAATTGTTGACGTGAACAGCATAAAGATGTTAACTGAAAGGCAGTATCTGATAAACAAGAATGAGCTGACCTCAATGAGCAGGCTCAATCTGAAATAATAAAAATCTCACAGACCCACCTCCGGTTCAAACTTGACCTTCCATACATATGGGATGAAATGTTTTATTTGGCTTTCGGTACGCCAGACGCATGCGCCATTTGAATATAGTAAATGACGTGATTCATCAGATTACATTACATACATCCAGTAAATTATTGTACACGTTCCTGGTCTATTGAACACATGCAACTTTATGTGCTTGTGTGAACAGTGGCCAGTGCGAGGTAACCAACATAAATTTTCAATTGCATGCAGTTGTCTTCACAATGTTCGCTGGCTAACAGGTTTCGATGGATTTTTATTACCCACAGCCACCAATTGTTGTCGGGATTGCAATCAATTTCATTACTAAAACCGTGAAAATCATATGCGGTCCTTCTGGGTTAGAATTTTTCCAACCACAGTTGAGGCATTTTAATTCATAGCCAATTGTATTGCACCACTGCTTGTAGACACGTTGAACAGCCCTCTGAGAAACATCAACAAATTCATCAAATGTAAACACTATTGACCCTTTTTTGCCACTCTGTCTCATCCTCGCATTTACCCAAATGTACGCCCATTTCCAACATGAAACAAAATGTCTCTCAGAATGTTAAGATTACAAAGAGGCTATGCAGTTAAGCACGTGAATCCATTGATGCACTATCTGCAAATTTAGCGATCTCTCTATATTTAGTACAAAGCCAACTAAACTTTTGTCCTGATGGATAATTGGCTAGCACTCTAGCCATCGGTACCATAGGCTTGAGATTCGAATCCTGGCGGTGACATGGATGTTTATTAGTGGTTTGAACCACGTTACACTGCAGGTCCCGGTTAAAATATCCCAAAGTGTGCCCAAAACGGCCATATAACGATTAAACAAACCAACCCCAATATATATATATATATTTACTTATGTTACAACATATCATGCATATATAATATATCCATGGTATATGTCATAGTATACTGGAACGCAAAGTCCACTAATATAAAACTATCAATCTATCTAATTCATAAAAATATATCGATAACATAGATACAACACATATTAAATATCATCACAATATTTCTCATTTTATTCAAAAAATTAAACATAAGTTAATTCGACTTTTATTTATGAGCTTGAAGGAACAAACAATACGATACAATTTTGAATTTTAAAAAATTTTTAAGCATTTCATTGAATTAAGAATTTAAGCTAAAAGAAATGTTGAAATATTTAATAATTAATGGTTAGAATGTTTTTCTGATAAATTCTAGGAGTGTTGTGTGGAATAATATAGTTATGTTGAAATACGAAAAATAAAATTTAATTTAAATATCTTTAATAGTTTAACTATTTTTAAGAAATTTTATTAATTAAAATTTTCACCAGAAGAACTAAATAATGTAAATTCTAGATAAATATAGTGATACAAATCCGAGTATGTATTTTTATTAATATTAGACATTATTTTTATTCAATGACATTGTTATTAAAACCAAGACTTTTTTTTACTTCCTTATCATATTTCATTAAAATTCAGTCAATTTAATATTATTTAAATTATTGTTGCTTTGTTGTTTCTTATCCCACTTGGCTGGCCAAGCCCACGAGCCCATATGGACTCATGATTGAAGGGGAAGGAAGCAGCTTCTGTTGTGATGGAGCACCCGTAGATAGAAGCCTGACTTTTGCTCCGTGACGCTCTTACAGTCATAGGAGACTGGGACCTACAGCTTAAAGTGGATTCCGAACCACTACAAACATCCATGGCACCGCCGGGATTCGAACCCGAAACCTGTGGCACCGAGCGCCAGAGCGCTAGACACTCGGCCATTCAGGTCCCAAATTTGTGAATGACAACGGCACGCGGTGTTCCCAGGTGGTCACCCACCCAAGTACTGACCGCGCCCAATGATGCTTGACTTCGGTGATCTAACGAGAACCGGTATATTCAGCATGGTACGGTCGTTGGCATATTTAAATTATTTTAGTACATTAACAAAAAACATTTAATTTAGTACATCAACTTTTAAAATTAAAAGAAAAAACATGTCCTAACTGCACCCTAAATTTATGTAATATAGTGGAAATAATTTAGATGTTGCAAATGTTTTCAATATAAATGATTGGAACAAAATAAAAATTGTAATAATAACAAAAAATTATTTCATAATACAAAACTACGAACATTTTCCGGTATACCATGCAATGTTTAGTTAGATCATTATTCTTTAAAATGTTAATTTAAGTAACGTTTTTCTAAAGTTTTAAATTTTTTTCTTAACTAAATTTTTATAATCTTATATTTTCTTAATGTTTTAACTCAAATAAGAAAATAGTTAATTACTAACTAATGTTTTTTCACCTAATTCATTACAGTTTTAATTGCATTGGATTTGTAGCTCGGTTACTTTAGCATATATACATATATATAATATACTTTCAGAGCTAATAATATGATTCAAAACATTTATAATATATAAAATTATTTGTGCACTCCCTGTATGATTATAAACATGCTAGTTATTAGTGCACTCCTTGTTGTTGTTTCTTATCCCACTTGGCTGGGCCAAGCCCACGAGCCCATATGGATTCATGATTGAAGGGGAAGGAAGCAGCTTCTGTTGTGATGGAGCACCCCGTAGGTAGAAGCCTGACTTTTGCTCCGTGACGCTCTTACAGTCATAGAAGACCGGGACCTACGGCTTAAAGTGGATTCCGAACCACTACAAACATCCATGGCACCGCCGGAATTTTGACACCGAGCGCCAGACACTTTTCATCCCAAATTTGCCAACGGCACGCAAAGGTCACCCACCCAAGTACTGACCGCGCCTAATGATGCTTGACTTCGGTGATCTAACGAGAACCGGTATATTCAGCATGCTACACTCCTTGTTACATTATAAAGAGATAATAAGTAATGTTCCTGCATTGTTATGAAAGTTTTTATTTCATGTTATCAACTCAAACAACTAAATATTATTAAATATCCGAATCTACTTGAAAATCCCTTTAAGTATTATTGTTAATTATTTTAATAAATTCATTCATGTGTAACATTGTTTAGATATCATTATATCATTGTTTGTTCACTTGCCTTTTTTGGCTTATTATAAAAATTTAGCATTGTAGTGAAAAATTAACCACCCACTTTATTCTTAATGCGTAACAGCTGTTGCAAGATTTTAAGAGATACATCTGACTAAATAGAAACATTCATGAAGCTTATGTGCAGTATTCTGTATATATTGTGTTTATTAATTTTTCCCTTATTGCTACAGCTGTTTCTTTCAGATTAAATTTTACACAATGAGTAAGCAAATGTCTATTTGCATTACAAAGCATATGTTTTTACACTTCTTGGAACAATTTATACTGATATTTGTTGTAAAGAAAATCGTTTGCAAATTTAATTGAAATATATTATAAATAATAATTTTAATATATTTTTATTTTTTTTTTTATTATTTAAGCTTACCCCCAATTATAAAATGCATTTAAATTATTGTTTGTAAGCGAGATAAAAATTAAAAAAATTAAATAACACTCTTAGGTTTTCAAATATCTATATATCTATATATATATATATATATTTTTTGCTATACAATGTTTTTTATTCAATAACACTTATGAAAGAAAGAATAATTTCAATTTATACGAAATATAAAATATTTTTTGAATTTGATCACAACGTAATATAATAGGAGAAAAAAAACAATAATAAGTTTACTATAAGGATAAAAAAAATAACGTTTTAACAAATTCAGAAAATCCAAAGGAAAGGACTATTGGAATAATCGAAATATTTGATTTGTGGCATTTGAGCTCGAATAGTTTTTAAATGTAAAGTTAAATTAAACACAAAATATTTTTTGAGAGTTTTAATAATTTGAATTTTAAAACGGAAAATAAATATGCACCAGACTATGTTTTAACATGATCAGATTCTAAATCACGTTTCTTTATTTTATTCAACATTTTGCAATTAATTTAACATCTGTTACATCAAATTATTTTTAATATTTGTAGTATGTAAAAATTAAAAAAAAAATAAGGTTGTTTCTTTTTGAAATGCAAATCAATTTAACTTTCAAAATCAACATTAGTACTCATTTAGAAATTTTAACACATCAAACGTTATGAAAACTGAATTATAAAAAGTATAAAAGTTCAATAATTGCAACTTTTATTTTTATTTATGTGGAACGCAGATCTGCATGCGGCTCATAGCCGCGCGCATTGGTAGCGTGTTGTAAGTCTGGTTTCTTTGGTTTGTCGCTCTACGGTCATCTTGTGCACACAAGGGCTAAACAGATCGGGATCTATATTTTAAAGTGGATTCCGAACAGTTAACAAACATCCATGGCACCGCCGGTACTCGAACTTAAACCTGTGGAACCAAACGCCAGCCATCAGATCCCGGGTAACGTATTGAAAGACGAGGGCATGAGTAATCTAGTAAAATAGACTAAAATTTTCAACACTAAAAAATGCGTTGATTCGATGGCCCCTATCACAAAGCTTTTTTCTCGGTAACTGTTGAACTAGGTGGTTACAGAATGTTTTTTTTTCTATTATATACAGAAATGTGGGCAATTAATCGTAAACATCCTGTCAATTGGTATTAATTTTACTTAAAAGCATATTATAACCAGAAATGTGTTATTTCCAATTATAAAGTGATTAGATAAGTGCGAAAGCCTATTGGAGAAAAAGAATTGAATTGTCTTCATTTATCACGTATATATATGTTCTTATCATAGACTGAAATGATTCCTGTTAATGCCATTTTAGCATTTTTTTCACAGGAGAAGAGTTTTGGCCTTTCATTCCCAGGAGAAGGGATTATTATATATTTTCCAAATAACATACAATCCTATCTCTCGAATTTGACAGCAGACCAGCTTTATTGTGGGAAGTTATATTGCACGCAATTAGTGATTGGCACAAATTAAAATAACATGTCACTCAAATCTAATAGCAGATATTAGGTATCGTGTAATGAGACTCAGAAAATTACCGAATGTCTGTGCGACCTCTACATGTCTCGGCGAGTTGAGAAATGTTTCTCCAATAAAAAATGAGGGAAAAGTACCCCCTCCCCCTTTGAACGGATTGTTTAAAAATACTTTCTTTGGTGAAGAGGAGAGAGATAGTTCTAGGACGAGTTGACCAGAAATGTTTTTTTTTATTTTCTGAAGTGTCTGAATAGGCCTGTTCACAAAGTGGCTTTCTGCCTGTTTTCAAAATGAGCGCCGTGTGGTTTCGCGAATCACGCAGTGTGATAGTTAAACTGCCACAGACCAGGTGTCTAGATTCATCGTAGATTCGAGAACTCTGGACATGGAGTGAACTGCACTTGTGTATTTAATTTAAGTCCTTTATTTTCATTTTTTGCAAATATATATAATGATGGTAAATAAAATTTTAAAGTGTTCTTTAAAATGTTATTTACCATCAGTATCAGTCATTTCCCTTGACCCTGAAAGTAGCCTTCTTCTTGAAGTCGTTATAGGTCTAAGGCTCCGACGTTACACTATCAATCAAATTTTACTGGAAATAAGCAATATTCACTGGATTTGTAATTATGTAGAGTTAAACCCTGTCCTTCAATGAGCTACCAACTATTATGAACTACATATTGCTTCTTAAATTATGAGGCAATTTTAGTCCCATATTACGCGAAAATCAATGTCCCAAAAATATATCAACGTTCAATAACCGCGCCCAGTCCACGAAGCTGCAGTTAGTCACGACATGCAAGAACATCGACCAAATTCAATAGTCAAACGCATCATCAACAAGAATTGCGATATAGCCACAGTTCCCAATTAACTAAAGTGACGCGTGTACAGCATTTACTCAATGGCCTAGTTGCTTCAGCTAGCAATTTTCATTCTACTGCAATTGGCTTTTTCTTCCTTTATATTTTTGCTGGCATACCTTTCCAAATTTCATCAAAAGCATAAATTCATGACTTTTTTTAGGATTTCAGTAAAGGATAATGCTATTTGATATTATTTCAGGAATTTTAAGTTTTCAAACGAAGATCCTTGTCTATGATCCGTTTTTTGTTATATGTAGATTTCTCTTAATAGACCTTATACCAGGATATTTCATGTTTTAAAATGATACCAATGTATATTTTTTTTTATAATAATTCATTTATTAATAATAATATAGGCAATGCAAACCAATCAAATTAAATAAAATAAATTATTTTATATTTCAAATAGGCATTTTTTTTTCTAATATACATAATTTTCTGAATAGATCCAAGATCATTTACCAAGATACTTCATGTTTTTAAATAATAATGTTTTTATCTATTTTTTTTTTAATATTAATTCCTTTCCTTCACGTTTCATTTTTAGGGTTTCATAGCAATATGCAGAACGCATGCCAATCAATTTAAATAAAAGAAAAATTAGTTTATACTTTAAGTAGACAGGATCAATTCCAGTTGTAAATTCTTTTTTTTTATTAAAATTATCCATCTAAAGGTTAATCATTATTAAACCTTCCGAAGTCATTTTTTGTTATACATAGACGTTTTTTCATAGACCTTATTATCTGGGTACTTCATTTTTAAAATGATAACAATGCATATTTTTTGTATTAATTCCTTTCCTTCATATTTATTTTATAGAGTTTCATGGTAATATGCAGAATGCATACCAATTATTTTAAATAAAATAATATTTTTTTATTTGGAATAGACATTTTCAATTCCAGTTGTAAATTTATTTTTTTCAAAAACATTTTTATATAGGATAATCATTATTAAACCTCCCGAAGCCCTTTTTTTTGCTATACAGAGACTTTTCTTCATAGACCTTATACCAGAATATTGCATGTATTCAAATGACAAAAATGTATATTTTTATATTAATTCCTTTCCTTCTTATTTCTTTTCTATAGTTTCATAATAATATGCAGAACGCATGTCATTCAATTTAAATAAAAGAAAAATTATTTTAAATTTTGAATAGATATTTTAAATTCCAGTTCCAATTTTATTTTATTAAAAATATTCATATGAAGGTTAATCAATATTAAACTTCCCAAAGTCATGTTTTTTCAATTCTTTCTATTAACTCACGATCTCCCTATATAAATATCTTGTTCAAATATTAGATTGTTCATAAAATACTTTTTATTCATCCACTCAAGTTCAAATTCATTTTTTTTAACTTGCAGTGGATACCACTTGATGTTAATACAGTTTTTTAAATATTAATTCAGTAATTAAATTTAATTCATTAATTTTAGTTTTTTTTAGATTTAAGTTGCATATATCTACCAATAGATGAACCCAGATAAATTAAAAAACATATTGAAAATTATTTATAAAGGAATTTCTGCAATATAGTGAAAAAAAAGTAGGAATTGACTTTAAAAAGTTTTTTTTATATTGCTTGTTTTTTAGAGTTTCACAATAATATACAGAACGCATGCCAATCAATTTAAATAAAACAAAAAAATTACCTTATATTTTAAATAGACATTTTGGATTCCAGTTTTAAATTTATTTTTATTAAAAATATCTACCTGAAGGTTAATCATTATTAAACCTTAAGAAGTGAGACTAAATAACTAAAAAAATCAAAAGCGATTTGTTGTACTTTAAAAATATTGAGACAAATTGCTTTTCTTCTAAACTTATTTTGTTGCATTAATTACTTAGACTCTTAAGATTTTTTTTACGGAAATCGCTCTTAATTTGCTTTAAATTAAAAGTGATAGATCTAAATTAACAAATGTAAGTAGTTTTCTAAATTTATTCATGTTAAGTTCTTTTGAATATTTAGCAAGAATGATTTATTGTAAATGTCAATAATTGAGCAATTAAAAGTATCTTAGTGTTTTACTCTATCATAATCAAT